AGGGCTGTGGGGACCCCCGGGGTGCCCTGGGGGTGGTCTCACCGATGACCATCATGTAGTCCCAGCAGTCGTGGCCGCAGATGTAGAAGTGGAGCCCGTGGGCGGTCTGGGTGCGGATCACCAGCGGGATGTTCTTGTTGACGTTCTCCAGCATGCCGATGGTCCAGGCCGCCAGGAACCACAGCACCAGGAGCAGGATGGGCGCCAGCAACTTCAGCACCCGCCCGCTCGACACGTAGGGCGCCCGCTGGGCCGAGCGGGACAGGAACACCTTCAGCACCCTGGGGGGGGCACAGGGGTGAGCCCCCGGCCCTCCTCGCTGTGGGGGTGCTGAGCACCCAAATCTGCCCGCTGCAGGGGTCCTGAGCACCCAAACCCACTCACCATGGGGGTCCTGAGCACCCTAACCCCCCCACTGCAGGGGTCCTCAGCATCCAAACCCCCCCACTGCGGGGGTCCTGAGCATCCAAACCCACTCACCATGGGGGTCCTGAGCACTCAAATTCCCCCCACTGCAGGGGTCCTGAGCATCTAAACCTCCCCTCTGTGGGGGTCCTGAGCACCTAAACCTCCCCTCTGTGGGGGTCCTCAGCATCTAAACCCCCCCACTGCGGGGGTCCTGAGGACCCAAACCCACTCACCATGGGGGTCCTGAGCACCCAAACCCACTCACCATGGGGGTCCTGAGCACCCAAACCCACTCACCATGGGGGTCCTGAACACTCAAATTCCCCCCACTGCGGGGGTCCCGAGCACCCACATCCCCTCACTGTGGCAGTCCAGACCACCCCGCTGCTCCCCATTAGGGGGATCCCGACCACCCAAACCCCTCGGCACGGGGGTCCCGAGCCCCGAGCCCCCCGCCCTGGGTACCTGTACAGCTTGAGGGTGATGGTGCCGTAGACGGTGGCGAAGCCGAGCATCCGCACCCAGCGCAGGACGATGCAGCGGAAGATGCTCGGCTTGAAGTACAGGATGAACACCTGGAGAGGTGGGAGGCAGGGATYAYGGRTGGCACGGCGTGGATCCCACCTCCAGAGCCTCGGAAATCACCTGCTTTCAAAGCCAGCACCCCCCTCCCCTCCCCTTGACCCCGCTGCCACGGCAGCTCGTGCGGGAGGGAGAGGGGATTTGGGCGGGGATTAATTCCCGCAGCCAGCAGGAGAAAAGGGATTTGGTTTTCTGAGAAGGTTTATGCCGCAGCCCCCAGGGACCGTGCCAGCAAAATTAACAATTAGGTGGAGCCGTGCCCGTGCCCTGCTTGGGGCAGTTCCATCCTGTGAACTCCACCCCGGAGGTTTTCAGCTCCGGGGAACGGCTGGATACTCACGGGGAAGTAGAGGAGGAGGGATCC